GTCAGTACAGGCTTGGGGCAGACCTGCTGGAGAGCAGCTCTGCAGAGAGGGACCTGGGTGTCCTGGTGGATAACAGGTTGACCATGAGCCATCCGTGTGCCCTGGTTGCCAGGAAGGCCAATAGTATCCTGGGGTGCATTAAGAGGAGTGTTGGCCAGCAGGTCAAGGGAGGTTCTCCTCCCGCTCTACTCTGCCCTAGTGAGGTGGCATCTGGAATACTGTGTCCAGTTCTGGGCTCCCCACTTCAAGAAAGATGAGGAGCTACTGGAAAGAGTCCAGCGGAGGGCTACAAAGATGATGAGGGGTCTGGAGCATCTGTCCTACTAGGAAAGGCTGAGAAGAGAGCTGGGCTTGTTTAGCCTGAAGAAGAGAAGGCTGCGAGGGGACCTTATAAATGCTTACAAATATCTCAAGGGTGGGTGTCAGGAGGATGAGGCCAGACTCTTTTCAGTGGTGCCCAGTGACAGGAGAAGGGGCAAGGGGCACAAACTGAAGCTTAGGAAGTTCTGTCTGAACATGAGGAAGAACTTCTTCACTCTGAGGGTGATGGAGCACTGGAACAGGTTGCCCAGGGAGGTTGTGGAGTCTCCTTCTCTGGAGATATTCCAGATCCGCCCGGACAAGGTTCCGTGCAGCCTGCTCTAGGTGACCCTGCTTCGGCAGAGGGGTTGGACTAGGTGACCCACAGAGGTCCCTTTCAACCCCTACCATTCTGTGATTCTGTAATAGCAATTAATTCTGACATTAGGAGTAAGTTAAAATTAACTTCTATACACAGGGCAGTTGTACAGTAGCTATGCCATAGTTATGTATGACATGTTGACATAGCTGGATTTCCAGACTTGCACTGGTCTGATCACAGCTCCCAGCACAACATATTGAGAAATCCAGAGAGGTTCCACAAAGAGGAGGGAGAGAAAAGTTTCTCTCGTTCTCTGTGCATCTGTTTTCTGGCAGTAACTTTTGTTCATAGAATCATGGGCCTAGAAAGAACCTTGCCTATTCATCTCCTTAGACTTCTCTGCGCTACGATCCGATCTCTTTCCTGAAGGACCACTATGTAACTTACTTCTACAGATTTTCAAATTGATAAAACAACCTCTCCAAGTAATCTGTTTCATGCTTCTCGCTATTTCTCTCATTATCCTTACTAGCAGAAAATGTTTCTCTAATGTGTTTCTTTCTGAAGTTTAAGTCCACTACTTCTTGGGATGGAGAACAGGTTGTTCACATCATCTCTGCATCAGCCTTTTTATTCTCTTGCGCACAACTTGGCTCCCTACCTCTTCCTCAGTGTTCTCTCTTCTTTAGACTAGGCAAGAATAATTAAGTTCAAACTCTCCTCATAGATCCTCTTCAGAGGTTTCTAACCATCTTTCTTGCTCTCCTTTAGACTCTCTCCTAGTCATCCACACCACAAGTGTGGTGTCCAAAACTGGACACATCACCCCAGCTAATGTGGTACTAGAAAAAAGGTGCAGGGACAAATGACTACTAAAAATAAAGGACAAGACTAACTGAAGTGAGGGATATATTTTTCCCAATGGCGTAGCACTGAATGTGCTATGTCGGTGTTCAGTTACTGATTACTATAGTCCTAGATCTTTTTCATTAACTTTTCTACCCATGCAGCTGTTACTCAGGCCTGGATGCAATACCTTGAGTACACTCCTATTTAACAAAATCCTCTTTTTCAGGTCAAATTTTTCTTGACTCTGAAGAACTGGAAATCCCCTTCAGCTTAGTAAAACCTGAAAATGTAATAAATTATTTCATCAACTATTTCTGTGAAAGCTGTGACTAGCAGTGGATTAAAGAACAGACAGCCCTTAAGATGACTGTCATCCACCCTTCCATTTTGACAGGAAACGTTTTAACCAGTATTGTCCAAGGTTTTCCAAACTAAGAACTTTTCCCCTAGACCATGCTTCCTTTATTTGCTAATCAGAACATCACAAGAAAGACTAAAAAGCCCACTGAATCAACATATAAAAGCAACTACTTATTCTCTGTGAATAATACTTGCTTCCCTATCAGAAAGAAAAGCCTAACTGGCATGAGATTACTTGTTTTACAAATCTATGTTTGAGTATTACGAGGCACAAAAATTTCACAAGTCATCTCCATTTTCTGGAGTTCAGGAACTGTAAGAAATGGCACATTTGGCTAAGTTATTGCCATTCTCTTTCAGTATAGCCTTGAATTTCTGCCATATTGACAAAAAATGTGGACAATTACCTTATGCTACACTTCCTTCCTAAAAAACAAAGGCATCAATCTAAGAGTTTAAAAACTATTTGGGAACTTACATGGGTATCCGGTGATAACTCACGTGCCTTACGGATAGTATAAGGCAACAACACTGTGAACTTACACTTTCAGTTGGGTCTTCCATGGTTCGAACAAAATTAGATGATTCAACAGTACATGAACGAACAGTTTCGGTCCTGCCTTCTCTGAACAAGCGTGTCATAGAGGCTTCATATGTTAAGGAAAATTTTCCCATGTCCTTGAAAAGGGAAAAATTAGAACTTAGAGGTTTAGCCAGACTTAGCCCCTCTTTCTTAATCAACAGTTCAAGATAAGCATACAATTCATATCATAAGTTCTTAGTAGCCCACCCTTAACAGTCTTACATAAGATAATAAAGGCAAAAATGAGATTAGTAGCAGGATTCGATAAATACTTATAGAACAACCAAACTAACAAGGACTACCCTCTCTGTTTTATATTCAGTCTTCTCCAGTTTACAACAGAAGCTGATTTAATGACTATCAAAAACCTATTTGAAAGTTCAGTGGCTTCCTAATTAACACAGCTGTGATAAGTAATCAAGAAAACTGTAACATCCTTCAAAGTATTTTCACTTAAAATTTTAATAGCATGAGGACGCATACCGGTGTGGTGATTTTTAAGAACGCGAGAACTGAAAACAGTCTGCAAAACCCAGGAAGTGTGGCTTCCATATTTCCTACAGATGTGCACAACCTACAGATTACAAGTTTCCAAGTGATAGAAACATATCTAACACATTAGCAACTGTACCCGTCTAAGCTATACATCAGAACAGATTGTGAAAGTCTGTTCAGTTTCAGATTAAGAGGATGGGTGTTCAAAATGAGAGAGGTGGTTGGGTAATCAAGCTTTGTGCCATGTAGCTACCCTAACCTAAGTAAGAAGGACTATAAGTGGTGATTACCAGTCAGGAAATCTGGATGCTTTGAAACAAATATTTGGAACTACTTTAAAAAAACAAACAAACAAACCAAAAACAAACAGTATCTCAGCAGCAGCAACAACTAGATAAAAAAGAGAAAAACATGCACGCTGCTACACTAGTGTTTTCTGCAAGCACATTATAGAAAAGGTGAACTAACAGAAGAAAACACAGCCAGGCATTTCTGTCAATCCTGTTAGGGAGTGTCCATGACTACTGAATTAAGGGTGACTCCAAACTAAAAGATGAGTTTACCATTGTTCAGAATTTAACACGCAGCTACTAGAAGTTTCATATCTACTTCTTTCAAGCCCAAAATGCTTAAGGACAGACCAGCTAAGCAGAAGAGAAAAATTTGCATGAGTGTCAATATGCTAACCTTTGGTCAATTAATTTCCAGCTAGTTATCTGTTTTGGGTTTGTACCAATTTCCATCAAAAGTCTTTAGTAACCTTGCACATGTGACTTTAGGCAGCCACATGTTTTAATCACAAACTTGCTATACCCAATTTAATGAGGTTCTATAAGCCAGAAACAGTCTGTTCTTCTTACCCGATAGTGAGCAAGCTGCAGGGCAAGTTGCACGAAGGCATCAGGGCTGGTTTTTGCTTTCTTTATTAGTCCCTTCCCAAAAGCATCAAAGTAAAATGAATGGAAGTCCACATCATCTGCCAGAGCTATGGCAGTGCTCAGAGACCTCTCAATCACTTCTTGACACTAAAATAAATAAATAAAAAAATATTTATATGCATACATGTGCATACGTATTCATTCAGTGGTATTTGAAAAAACTGTTGAAAAAGTGCATGTATTTTTAACTGATAAAACAACAAATGCTGCCTTTATGCATGCCAGGAACGTAATTTTTTAAATAATCTCCCTTTGAAGAAAGAGAAGCTATCTTTGCCAGAAACTTAGAATTAAAAAAACTAATAAAAATAAGTTTAAAGCCAATACACATCTGGAGCCCAAAAATTACACTTTAAAAAAACATCAGCATTAAGACTGTTTAGGTCGCTAGAACATAAAATAACTCATAGAGATAGAACGACCATAGTTGTGTTGCTTCCAATATGCCATACATGCTTAATTAAATGTAACTAACCATTACCTTTTTATTCAAAATTTAAAAATTCAAATAGATGATGGCAGTTTGTCTTGAAGTTAGGCGCAAAAAAAAAAATCAAACCTTATTAGACATGTATAGAGAACTTTGAACACAAAAAAGACAGCTACTCTCAAGAAACTATTACACAGGAGCATTTGTTATGACAACAGTGATGAAACCTCAGCAACTGAAACTTCAATAGAGTTACTATTTAAAAAATCAGGTAGCCATTTATTTTTGCCATGTTGCCAACCAAGAAAGTTTCCAGTAAAAAGCTGTCATTTCCTGGCCAGAATTTTTAGAGTGATTTTAAAGCCCCCTGATATCTTTTTAAGTAAACTGATTATTGTCCACACATGAAATATACATCTTACAGGACTCAAAGGAATTTAAAGCTGATCTATAGGGTTTATCAGTAATTAATAACACAATCTGACAGCTCAGAAACATAGGAACTTCTTCCTCAAACTACTAGCTGTTCTGTACTTACTTCTTCTGGAATTTCCCACTGCAGTTTGGTAGGTATAGGAATATTCTGATTGGTATCTCCTTTGCAATGCCCATCTTTTGAATAGCCCAGTTCAAGATACTCAGTTGCCATTACATTCTGCAAAGAACAAAACTTCTTCAGAATTGCAACATATTACATATTACTGTGGAATTAGGATTTGTGAAATCAATATAATCCATTTCAGTACACAGTGAAACACTATGCACAATCCATTTCCAAATAGTGAAAACAGCAGTAAATGAAGCCCCTTTTTACCTGCTATTTTAAGGCACTTTTACTTGTGTTCTGAGTAGGAAGAACAGCAGATATGAACAAACACCGATTCAATTACACTGCTGCATTTTGTTAGATGCTACTGAACTAATTAAAATGTCTCAATTAAAAACCCACCTCAAATTGATAAGTGGTTAAAATTCAGTATTAGATTTCACAACCTTTATTCAACTTAGAATCTACAGAATTTCTGCAAGTTTGTTATCTGTCAAAACTCGTTCATCAAGGAACAGTTTATTTCACAGTAAGAGCATATTCCTGAAAGATTTAAATCTTTTTTTTAAGATCTGCATCCCACTCAAAATTGCAGTTTACTTTATATGTGCACCAGAGCTCTTGGGTAGGGAAGCAAAACATTTCCAAGATGAACAATACAACTTGAATAACACACAAAAAAGGCTCTGTCTCACAAGATTTAAAACCACATCCTCATCACGAAAAAAAATTAATTAAAAAATACAGAATTCTCAATAGATTTTAATCTGATCAGAGTGGAAAGAAAAGCTTGACAAAAATCTACTGCATATTCTACATATATATTTCTAATCTATTATTTTTATTTAATTTTCTCATTTAGTTGTCAAAACCTACCAACTATGAAATAAAGCTTAATTCATTCTATTCTAAAAATACACCATCTATAAAAGGCTAACAACAGGTAACTTTTTAGGAAATGAAGTCCTACTTAGTTTAGTCATTTTAATTCTTAGAAGAAAATGAACCAACTAATAGTAAGTACAGAGCTATAAAATGAAGCATATAACATTATTCACTGCAAGAAAACAAAGTAACTTTTCCATTGAGCTAGTCTTAACTGCACAGTCAAGTCAGCTTCAAACCAGTATCGCCTTGTTTCTTCACAGGTTGGAGGATGCAATGAGGATTTTTTATTCTCACATGGAAGCACTTGTACAATAAAATTAGGAAATTACTTGGGGAATCAGTCAGCCCTGAGACCCATTTGCACAAATATATAATGAAATCAGAATTAGCTAATGTTTCTGAAATAATTTTGAGTGACTGAGTCATGTAAGCGTTTATGGGTTTAAGCTTCAAGAAGAAAAGAAAAATCAAATAGGATTTCAAGTAATAAACTAAGCTCATTATGAACAAACCTGACAAAAAGTGCATTTATTCCACTTATTGCAAATACATACAAGAGCTAATTTAAACAGCATATCAATCTGCAGCTCATCAAACAATTGCACAGAGGAAAAACTGAACTCTGTACCATCTCTAAATTTTGAAAGCAAGTGTAGGATTTTTATAGCTTTTTATAAAGCATAACTGCTTCAGGAGCATGCATATACGCAAAATGCATATCAAAGAGGCAACAATCTATTGATTTAGATTATATACAAGTCAGACGGGGAGCTGTATCACTTTTCTATGAAGACATCTATGCCTATTAAAATGCAAAAAAGACCTATAATTTAAAGGACAGCAACCTCTTCTTTTAAGCAAGCTGTTTTGTTTTTTTTTTTTAAATTCTATAGTTGCAGTAGACACAGGCCCATAATCACTCCTCAGCAACATGAATGCAAGGGATTGAAATTGTTGATCTTCAGGACTGTTGCATGGACCATATCACATTATCTTCTGCATTAACTCTTTTGTACTAAATACCTACCTCCCACAGGTGTCCAACAATAGGAGCATCTGCCCAAGAGTGCTCTGCATTCAGACCTATTCTGCCATTTTTGAATATTATAAGAGTGAATGTTTTATCAAACCACCTGCAAAAGAAATTAAGATTTTGTTATGGTTTTGTACACTTCAAAAGCATTTTTATACTGTAACTTCATCCCTCTCAAAAATTGACATTCAAATGCACTAGATCTTGGCTTTTTTTTTTTAAGTAACAGTCTATTTAAAATAAATAGACATAAATTTGAACCTCTTGAAGTTCAACAAAGCCAAGTGCAACGTCCCACACCTAGGTCCGCGCAATCTCTGGTATCAACAGACTGGGGGATGAATGGATTGAAAGCAGCACTTCAGAGAAGGACCTGGGGTACTGGTGGATGAAAAGCTGGAGATGAGCTGACAAAGCGCGCCAGCTGTATCCTGGGCTGCATAAGAAGCAGTGTGGCCAGCAGGTCGAGGGCAGGTGATTCTCATCCTCTACTCTGCTCTTTTCAGACCTCACAGGGAGTACTGTGTCCGGATTTGGAGTCCCCAGCACAGGAAAGACATGGACCTGTTGGAGCGGGTCCAGAGGAGGTTCACGAAAATGATCATAAGGCTGGAACACCTATCCAATGGAGAAAGGTAGAGAGCTGGGGTTGTTCAGTCTGCAGAAGAGAAGGCTCTGGGACATCTTTTTGCAACCTTTCAATATAAAAAGAGGGCTTATGAGAAAGACTGAGAAAGACTTTTTACCAGTGCCTGTAGTGACAGGACAAAGGGCAATGGTTATAAACTCAAAGAGAGTAGATTTAGATTTGTCATAAGGGAGCTGTTTTTTTTTTTTGACGATGAGGGTGGTGAGACACTGGAACAGGTTGCCCAGAGAAGTTGTGGACGCCCCATCATTGGAAGTGTTCAAAGTCAGGTTAGGCGGGGCTTTGAGCAACCTGATCTACTGAAAGATGTCCCCGCCCATTGCAAGGGAGGTGGACTAGATGATCTTTGAAGGTTGCTTTCAACCCAAACCATTCTGTGATTTGATGAAATTTATCAGCTTATAAGTCACTAATTCATATGTATTAGCCACGTGAATTAGTGAAATTCGAAAAAAGAGAAGGCATTTTCCAGAGTCAATACTGTACCTGTCATAACACCTGCCATGTATTAGAGATTTTGCATATGCATCCAGTGAGCTCACTGGATCTTCTTTCCTGTATCCTTGCTCGGTGTCATCTAAAGTCACAAAAAATGCTGCTTTTTCAACAGCATCTAAGGACTGTTTGTTCTTTCCACGGCTAAAATAAGCCTGTCGAGCCTTAGCCCATGGTACTCTGCAAAACAATTTGGTTTATAGCCAGATTATGTGAATTTGTCAAGGTTTTATCACCCTTAAGATTACTATGAGACATTCCCCCTACTTTTATTAAATTTTCAGCAGCTACTTTCATTGTGTTTAAACTCTATCAGCAGTGAAAAGTTCTGAAAAGGACAATGTAATCCTAGGAACCAATTCAATATATCATCACACATGCGTGAAGCTTAATCCTCAGAAGTGCAACACTTCTGTGGCATGCTATACATATAGCATATATCATCTAGAACAAAAGAAAATATCTATTACATGCAAGAAGAAAATAGTAATAATAATGAAAACAATCAAAAGCTATTAATATCCATTGCTGTAACACCTAAATCCAAGAGTCTGGACAATAGTCAGTAAAAAGTTCCATGATAAATGCCTGGAACAGATCTGAAGTTAAAGAAGTCCTGAACAACGTAATTTCTGTATGGTTGCACCACATTTATTTATAAGTTTATGTGGTTTTCCTAATGAAAAAATATTTCAGTTTGTTTTAAAGCAGAAAGTGAGAAAAAGGAAGGACTCCTAGTAAGAAAGTATATTAAAATCCACAGCTCTTTCTCTCCCTTGTCCAGAAACAACTAGACAGATTGAACTACATTTGTCACAATTTAACTGAATTCAATTATCTTGCACCTAGAACCAGCTGAGTACATACTGCTGTATTTTGTAGATGAAAGTCATTAATATGGAGTAACAGTTACTGAATTCACATTATCAATCTTAATTTTTAAGATATTAAAATACCAGTGAACCCCAGAGCAGATACAGAACTCAAGTAGATCAATAGGTATAATACTGTAAAGCTTCCAATTACCACTCATGATAACAACAATCAAACCAAACTTCTCCAGATAAGCACAGGTAATCTGTAGACAGGGTTGCCACTGCAAAATTACTTTTAACTCCACGTACTTGAAAATGACTGAAGAGCTGCTACACGTTAGCAATATACAAAATCAGTGATCAAGGTATAACCAACTGACTGCAGACAATTTTAAAATTCCAAAGCCAATATTCAGTTAGTATGTTATACAGCTATTTCTAAATGTTAAAATTATTTTTTAATAAAATAACAACGACCATACCTGTCTCCTGCAGTAAGAGCTGCTAACTTCTCTTCACCAGCCTGAGGCTCTGAATCATCATCAAGAATTCTTTGCATCTGCTGTTCAATTTCTCGGGGTTTCAACAGTCTACCATCATGGTACAGCCAGACTTTGAAGTAACAGCCCTTATGATACACAACAATGTGTTTGCTGTCTTTCACATGCTGGAGAGTATCTAGAATTGAAATCACTTATGTGAAAATAAAGCTGAAGTCTCAAAACATAAATGCACTAGATAACACAAATGCCTACTGGACGCACTACCAGTGAGCCACAGCTTATTTATTTTAAGAAAATAACAGACAATGGGGAATAAATGGCTCCCTTGTGTTATTTAAGCACAAAGATTCCCGTATGAAACAGTCAAATGCCCAGATTTTATAATCATTTGCATATATAGCACCACCAGTTTTCCACACTGGAGGCCAATATTAAGCAACTTAATCTGTATTTCTGTACCTGAAAAGTGAGCACTGGTAGTGTAGTCTGATTAAGCAGTCAGCAAAAGAACACGCTAGATGAGTGTGAGGAAAGGTTCTTTTAAATCTTCTGCATTCAAGTACTAAACAACTCATGGTACAATCTGTGGGGAGTCTTAACAGAGCCCAAATTCAGTACAATAAGCTTTTATTCACTTTTATCCTGGCAGATGCAGAGTGAATACTCCATCTATGCCCAAAGAGTGTAGTGTTACGGAAGTCAGTGAAGCAAAAACCTAGGCCACAAATTCATCCTCACTTTATTATTTGTATGGCTTAATTGGGATAAGCCTGAACTTAGTCATGAAGGCATTGTATCAAGCCACAGATGAAGGTTTCTACAGCAGCCAGGAAAAGTCCTCATTTGACGAAAATTGTTAATTGAGTTCCTTCACTAATCCAAAGAACTGTCACATTCCTGTGAATATTAAAAGACCCATTACTGAGATGGTGAAGAAAGATGATGTCAAAAATGACGGCTGAGCCGTAACTCATGATTCTAAGAGATCGGAGAAACATTGTACCAGCAAAGAGTTCTGGACTCTGGGTGCTCCCAGCTATCCATAACATTTTGGTAGGTATGCTCCATCTACTGATCAGAAGCAGTTTTATGCTAATCATGCCTTTGGTTATTCACTTTGCATTTCTGCCAGAGATAGGATGCCTGTGATGAAAGTGCTAGGATTGGTAGAAGCATCATTCTAACTGTCAAGTACATTAATGCAATGGGTTGCGAATTAAGCAGAACCCCCCCAGAGGGGGAAAAGAAGCAGCAATCAGCTAGTGAGATCACTTTTTCCTGTAATCCCAACCCAAATTGGGACACTCCAGTATTTGTCTCATGTACATGATGTGTCTGTACAAAAAAGACCACCTCTCAGTGTAAAAAGCAAATGAGAGATCATTAGTCATGTACATCAACAACCGACTTCACAAAAGTTATTGAACTCTGGCAACTGCCTTTCTGACACCTTACTTATGGGCCTAAATACACATTTATGCACCTGGAGTACAGGTTTGTTGTAATACAAAAAAATCCCTTCCTTTTTCTTGCCAGTCTAAGTAGTCATTTACATACATCTGAAGATGCATGTAACATGCTGCATGAGTTTCTTATAAAAAAAGCGGGAATGGAAAGACACAAAGGCTTTTCCCTGCTTAAAAGAAGTGGTTCACTCCATGCAAAAAGACATGAAAATTAAACAACTGCTCAAATGACAGGACACAATGTTCATTAAGATTTTACCACCAGCTAACATGAAGACTTGCCACACAAATTTTTTTTTTTTTTTTTTTTTAAATATGCTGCTCCTTTAGGAACTGTAACATACACCAAATACTTAATATAATTGAAATCGGGGCAAGAAATTGAGCTAATCATAAGAATCTGGGAAAAACAGCTTTATAACTTACCCACATAGAGAATGACAAGAATTATTTTTCCTTTAGAAAAACAGAAACAATGAAAAACTGAAAAAGTAAAATACGAAACGTGAAGTGCTTAGGCGGAAAATAATGTAATGTTATGATGATGACTGTACTTTAATTTAAAAGACTTTAAGCAGGAGAAACTGAGAAGAAACGTTAAGACGTACAGGATGTATTTTAATCCGGTGTTATAGCTAGAATGGGCCACTTCTACACTTCTGTGCAAAACTCACTGCAGACTAAGAGAACACCAAATCCAAAACTAAACGCAAACAGTTCATACCTTATATTTTACTGAGGACAGGGAAGGGGCAAAGGCAGTGCTTTCAATATTTCAAGTATTCTAAACAACAATAGCTCATACAGTACAGTTGTCTAAGAGATTTTAAAACTTGCTAGTCTACTTAAGCTACTAGCTCATGATCAGGGAGTTTTTCTCCATTTTGCAGCTAAAGGAAGCTGAGGCATAGCTGGGAATAAGAACTAAGTGTAAAATCTTTATCTGACACATGCACCTACCACCCGACTACTTTATCCACTAGCCAATGCTACTTCTTCCCCTTATCAAACTTCATGCAGTACAGCAAACCTCAGACCTCCAGCAGGGAAGAGTGGGCATATCCTTCTGTGTGTTTAGAAACTCTTTATATTTTTTTATTCTGTAGTTGAGTAGGACTAACACACTCAAAGGCAACCTGAAGTGTAAGAGTGAATTACAGATCTCAAAGAAAGCTAAAAAATATATCCTATCTTCAAGTGACAGTCCAAGTACACTTCCAGTGGAGGTCACTAACCAATAACCACTTGCATTCCAAATTCCTAGTGATTGTCCTCAGCACTAATCATGACTGTCCGTGTAACTCTGTCAAATGCTGTATTTCATTCTGATGCTGCCACAATGATGCAGTGTTGGATAAACATGTGAACTCAGTTCGAAGATGCTCTTCAGCATATAACCAGATCAGAAAAACCTAGATATAGTTTAAGCTTTTGTAGAAAGCACAACAACAGAAGTTTTCACTTCAATCCACTGTGAAATTATCAGTTTGCTTCTCAAAGAACAAGAAAATGGATAGCAACATTTTCTTGCACACGTTGACTACAAATGTCAGTATTTCTAGATACAATCTGCCTCCTTTTACAGTGACAAAACTCATGAAAAAAAAGCCACAACAATAAAGCTACTTTTATATTAAGATCATAAAAGCCAGCTTAAGCCTGGAAAATTTAGGATGAGCTGATGGAGATCTTTGGAAGCTACCCTGGGGAGAAACCCATTATGAACCTTTAGGGATACATTACCTTTAGAAAAATAACACCATATGGAGAAGAATCAGCCTCAAGATCTTGGATGACATATTGACCACCAAAAAACCACGGTATTTTTATGTTGAGGTACAACAACAAACAATTTATCAAAGGTTTGCCATCGACTACAGTAAAGTGCTTCTATGTCTACAGGCAGTGTTAATGAATGCATACAATGAGAAGAACACGTACATCTACACTGAGAAAGTGTTATGAACTATCACAGATACAATTTTTTTTTTTGACCAAGCTAACATGATTGCTTGTGATCATGTAAACATATCCTTAGTCTCCCATGATAAGCAGAAGTTGCAGGAACAGACTCAGGTGACAGTGACCCTGCTGTAAGTCAACAGGCATGCTCCTCTATTTAACATTAAAATGTGAAAACTTAGTTACTCACAGCTTAGGATAACCAGACCATTGCTGGGAGTTAGGGCAGGGCAGGAACTACCAAAACTCAGAGTACGTATTTCTTAATATGTTGCACAGAAAGTTTTGGACACAGTCCTTACTAGAGGTGATTTCACCTAGCTGATGTCTTATAGTGCATACAAAAGGTCAAGGTAACAGTGGTGTTGAAAACCCTCACAGGACTAAGACTGTACCTGCCTCTAAACTAGGTAAACAACTAGTGTTGAATGTATGTTTACATTGAGCACACCAAATTTGGATGTTGTTGTGAATCATAAGCTGAAAGGAGAAATGGAAAGTCAAGCAAGCAGATTTTTAAATGGCTGAGATAAGAGAACACAACTTTTACAAAAATAAAAACATGGATATCAAAGGATCCTGAAAGAACAGAATGGAGAAAAGTAAAGGTTATTTATAAATTAAAAACACAGGGCAGACAACAGTTTCTTGAAGTTAGCTTTTAATTTAAGTAAAGGAAAAGACAAAAAACGCTGAAGAAGTTTCAAAATCATCTGAAAAGGAGAAACAGCTATGCACTCTATAGCAATTCATTACTTCCTGAGTACTGGAAACACAGTATTGGTGTGTCCTTGTATCTGTGAGATCCTTATGTGGAAAAACAGGATTTTAGCAGGAAATACTGCAAAAATTGAATTCCATGAATATGTTTATTCTCCTTGCCTGGCCCTTCTTACCTGATTCCTCTCCTGGGATACGGGAGGTATTAAACATCCGTTCCCACTGAGCTGAACAGAGTGGAACAGTAGATCCCATCAGAAGAATCTGTGCCGCAAACGTACAGTAAAATGTAATTTTACAAATACAAATAGCAAATTAAATAGGAAAGAAAAAAAAACAGGATCTGGTTAAAGACAGGCTGTAGAACAGTAAGATTTATAATACCTCAGCTCAGGTCTGGGATTTTTCCCCCACCCTGTTCACTGCCTTTCCTTGACACTGACATTCCACTAGCTGTATTTTTTTCCCCTCCTACCAAAAGCTCACCCTTCAGTAGGGATGACTGAAGCTAGCTAGTGCCCAAAGAGCTCTCAATGGCCAGTCTGGATACAAAACTTAAACATTCAGCATGCATTACCCCTTAATTTCTTCTTTTAAAGCTTACAAAAAAAGAAAAAAGCTTTAAAGCTTCTTTTATTTCTGGCTTTGTAAGAACAAAAGTTCATGTTTGTCAGATTTGTAGTTACATACAACTGCCACGACCTTCAACAAAACTACTTAGTTGTTTCCACAATATTTGTTTACTTCAAGACACATCCACTGGACAAAACAGAAATTTAGAATGGTATTCACCTTGCCTATCTTCGCTACCTAGAAGTTAGTACAACACAAGATTTTATCATTATCTATATTTAGGCTGCCACTGGCCCACTCTTGGCCTCAAGGTCCAGTCCTTTGTCCCAACCACCTCTTGCACTGTCACCACATGATGCCACAGACTTTTCAGACTTCTGTGGCTAAAAATTACCATTACATGCTTAGCACATACTAATAACATGTCTTACACAGAATATTTAACATATGCAGATACAAGCACCTATTTGTCTTTTTGGAAAATAGATACATTAATTTAAAATACTGCACTTAGCTGGCATGACAAAATCCTGTATTTTTGACAGCTGGTAGTTTCTGCCCATGTGTAATTCAAGAGATAACCAAGATGTTTGGGACCACAAATTTAGTTACTTCTTACATGTAGTTCTGATAAGACATCCCTCTCCCATTCTGAAAACTGATCAACTTCTTACAGACTGTGCTGGAAGAAGATCAAATGCCATTTAAACTGATACACATACTGGTTTGATTTCTTGTCTGTCCAGTTTTTTCCGATAGAGCAGGATGGCATGGATAATGTTACCAGCTCTAGCTGCCTGCAGGGTTGTGGGAGATAAATAAAGGAAGTCCTGTAAAATACATAAGAATAGCAAGTTAACGATTACCAGACTACATTTAAAAAAAAAATACTGATAATACTTCTCATCCACATTCTTAATGTTTATTCTGGTCAATACAGAAAATGCTTTAAAACATATGAAGTGCACTAGTACAGTGAGTTGATGACTTGAAACTTAAATTTCTTGAGTAGTGATGATCTCCTTAAACAGTATGAGTCCTAAAACATACACGATAGTTGTTAATTATTCCAGCAGAAAAGATAATGCTACTTAAAACTCAAATCCAAGACTACTATATTTCCTCTTTTTGCTTTTAATTTTAGGGTCTTTTACAATTTTACTTCCTGTACAGACATATGCAGATATGAGCACACACCTTGTTGAATTGCGTTACACATGAAGTTTTACATGGAGCTTTTGAAAGACTGCTCATTGCAGTAAGCACAGAACTGTATAACTCATTACTGTATGAGTTCACCTAAGTGGCAGATGCACTAAGTTTATTATTAAGACAGCACTGTACTTGAAGACACTGGCTGCACACTATACTATAAGAAAGAAAAACAAAGGTCACACGGTCCGTGGCAATAGATTTCTAAACAGAAAGATATCATGAAATAAGATACCTGGCAGAAATTTTACAGTGCTTCTTTGACACAAAGTGTTTATAGTATTTACCTACCATTGCAAAATAGTTACTATTAACCATAATTGGTCCACGTCCTCTAAGGTAGATATATTCTTCCCACCAATCACTAACCTGTAGCAGAAAGGAAAACAAAAGCAGTAAAATCTCACAATTTCCACAGTTTGTGTCTTCCATGTTAATGACTCCACCACACAACATTTCATACAGAAGCAGGAAGAAAACTGCCAGCTTGGCCCCCTACTTAAAAAACACAAACTAATTTGTGTTAAACTTTAGGGAAAACAGCAAAACAGGGGTGAGAGAATTAAATTAATCTGTAGCTCTCTGATAAGCTTCTGAAGAAGTCCTCATCTTCAGATAAAATTTAAAATGTATCAGATCTCCTGAATGTTTTTCAGCCTTTACCAAGACACTGTAGATGACCTTAGGCTACTGGGTACAGCTAGAGGTTAAATAATATATCAGGAAGGAATTATACTACAGTTCTCACTATGATGTTGAGGTTTGGGTTTTCTTTTTGGTAAAAAAAAAAAAAAAAAAAAAAAAAAAACAAAAAAAAACCCCACCCAAAACATACAACTCACTGTTACAATTCTTTATTTCTCTTCCCTATGCTTTAGCTGCTCTATATAAAAAAGTTGTCCTAAACCACTCTTCTAAACTACCTGGTTAGCTAGGCTCATTGTTGAGTTATCAAGCTTAACAAGCAAATAAACAGCCCTCAAAAGCAATCATAACAGCAAAAGCTAAATCACCTGCTGCAGAAGAACAAACACAAAACACAGATTCATTCTTTCAAGTTCCATTCACCACACTGTTTGTTTACCAAATCACACAAATTATTTCTGTGCAAATCAGGTGGTCTGCAACGCACTTTACAAAAATATTAGGCAGTTTCAATTGCCTTCTTTTACATTTAAGAAAGAATGAAAGTTAAGCCAAAAGGCAACAGTGAACAAACTAAGTTATATAATTTCAATGATTGAGCCTCCTATTTATCTACTCACATAGTTTGTGGCCCACCAGGATTTTAGCTTCAAATACCACTGAAGCCTTGGTCCCAAATTAAATGCAAAATCTTTGGCAAGACCCTCCATTCTTCTGAACTCTTCATCATGCATAAGTGGCCGAACTGATTCCAGATACTAGAATACAGAAAAAGAATTAGCATCAGTAGAGTAACGAATAAGTAGCTTCTCGCCATTCCTACACAAATCATTTGAACAGTAGACAAAGATTATCCAGACTCAATTCATCATGTTGCAAATACTATGTTTTTGAAATAAGAGTATACACTTTTCTAAACATCTGCCTGCAAACCACAAAAAGGAGATATTTTTCCACACATTTGTCAGCAAATCACAAGTGGAAGAGGTTACTTTTCTAAAGATACCTTTTCCATTCAAAAGGGGAAGACGCACTGCTTCTTCAGCATCAGGCAGAAATATTTTTTTCATCTCTAAAAATCAAACTTCCAGTTTCTGTGACATACTGTCCTCCTTATACACTTTGCTGTAAGGTTCTACATCACAAAACATGCATTTATATGTTCAAGCTGTTGAAGATAACAAAACTGCTATGCTTCAGAAGCCATGGAAATCACACTTCATTGCACAGACTTACATCAACAGACATCACATCATCGGATATGAATTATGCTAGCTTCAAATTGTCACCAGTTTCAGTGGTTTGTCATAGCCTTTATTTTATTTTCTGTATAGAATTTTTAATCCATTACACCATATTAATATGACCATGCAATACTTCTATAAGACATGGCAAAAAACCCCTACAAGGGCATCTAAATACAGATTCAATGTTACTGAAGAAAATGAATTCATGAGCGTACATACCCTATTGACCGTGTCTTTAACAGCTGGAACGGGCAATCGTGGTAGTGATGTCTGGAAACTGTATAACATGGGTTTACGTCCTGAAAAGAGTTTGACAAGTACCTGAAGAAAAATAAAAACAGAATACACTCCTCAAATTATTAGTTTCAACAAAAGGAAAAATGCCAGAGTAATGAAGTGTAATGTTAACTCATAGTTCTTTTCACTGGTAAATTGAAGCATACTAAATTTAGCAAACTATCATATTTATCACTGTTTCACAAATAAAAGAGGCACTGACAAAAACTAACTTCCTAAGGTTAAACAACACGTCAGTGGAAAAGAAAGATGGTCACAGTCATTCCTGACTTCCCATACAATCTTCTGGCCATTAGGCAGTATTGTTTAATAATGGCACACCTTGATCTCAACAGAAAATAAAGACAGAGTTATTTAGCACTTCTTCATACATTTCCCTCTGTAAAGATCAAAACAGCAAGTCTGCCAGTTGATCTTTTACTGTATAGTAGACACTATAAAAAGAAGTCTACACTGCGTTTCAAAACAGGAATCATTTTCAAGCCTGTCACTCATCTAAGTATCCTAAATAACTATAGCCACCTTCAAAAATAATAATTATGCTTTGGAATCATGGCTTTCAATATTTTCCAAAGTTACAGCTCAACATCAGTAATAGCACTGACATTATAGGGAGTTTCCTCAAGCATGAGTCTATGTCAGGTAGTCTGCGGCATGATTGGAACATATCAAATTGTGCAACCATGTCAGTGTTATACTCAGTGCTTGTGTTACAAAAAAACAACCACAGAGATGACAGTTCTTATCTTTTCTTACCTTCAGATACTACAGTATCTCCTATTTTCCATGAGAGAGTGAAGACAGAAGCAGCATTTCTATGATGACTACTCAGCTGTGACACACACTAGACTGAAAGTCTAGACCATGCCACTTCCAGGCTACACATTAAAGGATTTTGACATTATCACCCTATTTCAGCATGAAAGTAAGGTCAAGTATTATGCCAGCAATGTAGTGCAACCTTTACTATCAAAGTCCAACCTTGGTCCAATATACTATACATATATTGTATACAGGCCAAGAGACTAAAGACAGAAGAAAATTGAGGATGTCATCTCACTACGAAATTCTTAGAACTTCTCCCTTCTTATCCGCGTCCCCCCAACCACAACTGACAAAACTACTTGTTAAAATGTAGGGTGTTTCCCCCTTCTCAATTTCTTTGGTCAGCACAGCTAGAGGAGATTGTTTCAGGCAGCACAAAACCATTAATAATTGCAAACTATTACTAGCAACAAAGACCTCCCTGCAAATGGATCTGTATCAGACAGTTATCAGATGTACATGGATGCATCACAGTGATCAGCCCAATGAAATCTAGTTGTGTATCATGACAAGATAGATTTGAAGCCAGGTGAGAATAAAAAGCTCATATCTTCATAAGAAAATCTAATTCCATACTTGGAGGCAATTTTGTTCCAGAAATCTGAAGCCAGGAAAGGCTGGAATTATCTTCAGACAGAACACCTGCTCAACTGACAAAAACCAGCAAATACATTTCACAGTACTTATCTCCTAAGTAAACCTGTAGTAGAGAATTTGTAACAGTTTGAGACCATTAACGTGATCTGACAGACACACATACTTCATTATGTCTCTGATTTCATATGCAGACACAGTAACTAATCCCATTACAGTATGCATTGTAATCATCTGTGAACAGACACAACTACTTCTTAAGATATTTTTTAAAACTGCAACTAATGCTTGGATTTTTCCCCCAATCCTGGTACAGGAAATTCTACTTTAGAAGATGATATGTATTCATTAAAAGTACTACCAAACTTTCAACCAGCCTGAAAATCAATTTGTACTACGACTGAAATCAGAGCTCAGGTTTTTGATCTATTATGATTATTTGAACAGAAGACAGTAGACTCACAATAGCATTTTTCATGCTGTTAATCAGTGTGAAAAACAGCTAAGAAAAAAAAAACCCACCGAAAAACCCCTCCAGAAAATTACACACTATTAAAGGCTAATAAAAATGTAGAAAGTTAAAGGTAGTTGGTACTGTTTTACTAGTGAAACCAGTCTTTTGTTGGAACTAGCTGAATAAGGTATTAAAATAGAGCTTCATATTAAGACACTGTGGGGCATACACATTTGTAGTGTTCTGTATTTTAAAACATATATAATACACAACAAAATACATATGCAACATACATCATAGACAAAAATTTACAAATACAATACACAACAAAGCATGGTAAGTAGCACTACAGTTCATACTGTTTAACATTGATGAGGCAATATTAACAGCTTTAAAACATCTATCCAGTAGTACATGCTGAAAACCCAGACAGTCACAGCTTCAAGCAATTGACAGAAAGTCTTACCATTCAGAGCCTGTACTGTACAAATTCAAGTCATGAGGCTCCTGATACCGCTTCCAGGAGAAACTATCAATTAGAAATTTCATTTGTAACAGATGAATGTTCAATTCTATTTTAGTGTACCTTTCTGGATACCTGTTCTTGAACATATTTCAGACTAAAAACATCATGAATTACTGTAACACACATCAGTTAATTTTTGAGGTTGCAGAGACTAATTTTATTGTAGTAGGGCACTTAAGTTATTTCTACAACAATACTGGCAAAAGCAAGTTGAAACACAGTCCAAAGAAAAAAACCCACTTCATCTCTTGGAGCACCTATATGTACATTTCCTCACTTTATACCTATCACATCCTTTAAGGATCCTTCTCCAAAGTACCACAATAATGAACATAAGCCAGACCACTCGCGTCTTATCCTTGTGTGAAAACTGCATAACAAGCTACCTACCTTACGCTTTTTCTCCAACTCATTTTGGAGGCATGCCACTTAATAAATCGAAAGGACATTCAGTATTATTTTCTTCAAGCATAAGATTAATTTTAGAATGGATGACTAGAAATCCTAAGATTTCAACAAATAATTAGGGCAGCACTTTCTTTGGTGCTGCAGCCCAAGTTCTTTAAGCTATACTTTCACATAGAGAAAAAGTAGGTATTTGAGTCACACAGTCTCAAGGCGTTGTCAAATTTAGAAGTTATTCCTGAAGTGTTTACCCTTTCTTCTGTTCCTTCTACAAGGCCATCCTGAATAATTTAACTATAGCATCAGAAGGATGACAGTAATTAGCAGAAATATCTACCCAACAGCATCCTGTCCCATGACACAGAAAATAAGAGCAAGGAAAAACCTACAAAATATTCTCATTTAGGGCTCTGAATACAGATCAGATAGAAGTTAAGACGAAACAGGAAGACAATATATCCTTACCATCCAAAACTTGGTGCCTGCAGAAAGCTTGCCATGTTCAGCAAACATCCAACCATGATAGGAAAGCAGCATTTTTAGAGAGTAGCGCATTGTGACAATGAGGGCAACCCAAAGCCCTGTGCCAAAAAGTATTCCACTCACGATGTTCTGTGTTTGGTTTGACATATAGCCTCTATTTGAAACAAAAGCCAGTATGTGCCAGTTAATGTCAGTTTAAGTTCTAAAGAGAACCTCATATTGCAAACCTAAGTCTAATGGCACTATAGGCAGACATTATACAAGCTTCATGCCCATTTAGCCCTTTTTCATAAACTCATTTCCAAACACCTTCTCATGCAGCAAGATCAAAGGCCACAGAGGTTGCCAAACATACTTCCGAAATATTCAGAAAACAATGTAGTAATACTGGTATGACAACTTATCTATTTCATACCCTCATACATCTGCTTATTGGGCTTCGTCTTGTCACAAACATACTGTTCAAAAATTGATACACTTTAACTGGATTAGCTTTAAGAACAGCTACAAATAAAACTGATTTCTGTTAGATGAACAGTAACCTTTCAGTCTACTTACGTTGTATCAAGCGTTCGGTTGATTTTAGCTATTATTCCTAAAGAAGGATCAATTTTGGCATACATTGTTGACATCACACCCACAACTACAATAAGCCAGCTAGATGGGCTAGCAGGATAAACGCCAGTGATAATTCCATTCTGGAAAGAAAAGCCTTCACATAATTTTTTCATACCAAAGTGGCTGACTTCATATTACCATGGAAAAAAACAAAAAATCAACACATTTAAGTCATTTAGTTTTAAACAAGAAGTTAAGGTTATCCAGCATTCTTTTACATATGCTTAACTCAGCAGTAGGGAATGGATTTAGTTAAGTTTGACTGCTACAGAAAATTGGCACAATGATATCACGAATTAAAGGAAATTTTAAGTTCTTTTGTAGACAGCAATGATTCTGCTGCAAGTCTTACTCAAAAAACTGACATTAGCAAAAAACTTTGGAACGAATGACACTCAATAATTCCCACTTACACAGAGTTGGGCCACTCTAAACGAATACATGGCAAAAAGATTCTACTAAACAAAGATGCTGAAAACCGGAATCAAGGGGTTTTCGTATCATTTAAACAGTCCTTCTTATAGCTTTATAAGATTTTATTAAAACTACTGTTAAAAACACATTTCTGACAGATGTTGAAGATAGCCTGTAGCTTATCTAGTTTTCTACTAATTAAATACTTGCCATTTATGAGCCCATGAACAAAACAATAAATTCATAATAATCCACATCAACTACCTTGTCAGAAATATTACTACTTAGCACAACTTTACAAGACGGATGTTCAAGTAACTGTTTGAAAACAGCACACATTCTTCTTAATTTGAAAATTTAATTTTGGCAAAGAATACATAAAATCAAGCGTGTAGTCTTGCATCTCTAAATGCTACAACACTAAAAAACCCCACAATTAGTTATACTTCTGACTTATGCTAAAAGATTACATAATTACATGACATATTATGAAGAGAATGAAGTAAATTAAAGCTATTAATTTCTACATCTGCTTCATCTTGCCTCCATAGAATAAATCAAAAAGATGTACACTTTTAGTCTTTACAGCATCACCCAGTGCTACCTTCCTCAGTATCCTGTGTCTTAACTAAACCCCCCACAAGTCTTACACAATAAGGAACTTTATTTCTTTGCCTTTATGGCAAATAAATATATAAATAAGTTTTGCCTAAATGAAACTTCAATAAATCCATAAAACATTAAACAACCCTCAAGTTTGGTGCACTTGACTAACTTAAAATACCTTGAATCTGATGAACTTTTTCTTCCATGAATGGACACCAGACAGGTAAATTTGTCTGAGTGCCTCATGGCTCATTCGCAGGTCAATCCCATCCGGAGTTACTGTAAATTGAAAAGCTACTGCTTGATGAGCTTCTGCCATTTTCAGAGAGAATTCTGTTAAAAAGCAAAGTTTAAAAATTATTTTCTTTTTGTTCAAAGGAACTAGGAGCTAGTCCAATTCTAGCAAGATATTGTCTACACAGTAATTTTGGGAAATATCCCAAGTATGCAAAATTTACATACAGTACTTGCCTCTTCCTTACACAGGCTGTGCTTGCACTTCAGTTTGAGCGTCCAATACGTTAATTAAGGTACCTCTTCTAACTACAACAGCTGAAAATGGAAGCAAAACACTCTCAAGTAACTTCGGCTTTTTGGCAGGATTGCAGCAAGCTGAATATCGTGCATATATGCAATACATAAAAATTCAGAGTAAAGCAGAAAATTAAAGCCATAATATTTAGAAGAAGCATATCACAGGTACATAACATAATAAAGGAGATTCAGAAATTTTTTTTTTCCATCATTTTGAAACAAAAAGTATCTAAAGTCTCCACTTCAGCTAGCAAAAGAAAGCTGCTTCTGGCTGTATCTTTTTTTCATATCTTAATTTCAAGCTCGTAACAGCAATAAGACACTATAGCCCCTGTGACTCTGAGTTCAGACTGGCAAATAAGTGCAAAATCAAAACTATGCAGAGCCCAGGAAACCAAACCACAAGTGTCAGAAAAATGGCCTTCACTTAAACAGATCTGAAATTAAGAGGACATTTCATTGAACTTGCAGCTCAGTTTAACTACCCAAACAAATATCAACAATGGTGCCAATATAGACAAAAGACCATCATAATGGGCAGGCATAACAGGCTCAAATAGAAACCACTGGAAGTTAGAACAGAAATGGAACTGTGATTCTGTTTACATATTTACATCTCAACTCTGTCAGAGGATACAGCCAATTCAAACTGAACTGTATGTTCTTATTTATCAGTACATCTTCATAGCTTCTTTCTTTCAGTAACCAGCATTTCTACATAAATATCCTGAAAGTTACCTACTACCTACTCCTCACTAATTCAGAGCAACATTGTTTGAGCATTCACAGTCTGAACAGATTTTTGCAGACGGGCTCTTTGTATAATATTGAAATGGTCCAAACTACATATTCCTGAGGAGACCCACTGTGATTCCAGTCTTTTATTCACATGCATTTATTGGCTTACCAAAACTTCTGTGCATAATCCCCAAAACAACACCCTCTTGTAATTATGGCAAAAAGGTAGAGGAATCCATAATCTCATCTGTAGGTCAGGATTCATGTGCAAGTTTTAATTTCGCATTTTTACTGGTAGAAGCCAAAACGTTATCAATACCAAGTGTTCTAAGGTGGCACTGGCATTTCTATTTAAACAAAATCAACAGAAAGCACAACTACTTCATGCCTTTTGAATCCTAAACACTGACATTTACATTTCTTTTGCAAACCTGAAGCTTAGACTTTGTAACTAAACTTAAATTCTGATAGAAATTCTGGTAGAAATTCTGGTAGAATCTCCTGTTGAACAGCATGTGAGGGATAACCAGTGCAGTTTAGCTGGGCACTTCAAAAGCAGTTTCTTATGACTGTAGTGCTACTCCTCTAGTCTGTAAATATTCTACTACAACAAAGAAGGGGTGCAAAGGTGTATGAGTAGACAACTAGAGAATGTAAGCACAGCGAATGCTGCAGTAATAATAGACTTAGGAAATAAATGCACAATATAGGAAGAAAAGGAGCATTAGGCAGACATGAACAAGGCAAGTGCTGTTGCCCAGCATCTAGTAAGGTTGCTGACCAATAGGTAGTAACTGTTTGCAATATTTAAAGTGTCTATCCCTAGACCAGCCTGCAACAATCAACCTGTGCAATACACAACTACTCCTAGAGTGGCTGATGGTAATTCACAGATGTCCCAGATCCATCAGCCACTGCTCAAGTTTTAGAGGCTGAGTCCTGGGTGAATCAGGCTTCTGGGTTTCCAGAAGGGTAGCTAAAGCTCACAGTGTCATACGGACAGTGTGCAATTTGACCTATGAATGTATAGTGTCTGATTAGGGCAACAAAGAAATCAAATCCGCTTTGAACACCAGTTTCAAAACATTTAAGACAATGCCCTAGTAACAACTGCAATTTGTATGACTTAATGACTCTGTCACTCACAACTGGTTATTCATAGGTGCCTTGCTGCAGACCAGTATCAGGAAGTCAGCTGTCCATTCATTTAAATTGTGCATCACTAGTTCGATGTTTGACTAAAACCACAAGAGAGCAATAAAACAGAAACATGCAGCAGTAATACATGGTATATACCCTGGACTTGACAGGGTTTGCAAGAGGGGAAAGCACTCAAAAGTTAAGAATTCATCCTATGTTTAGCAATACCATTAAGACTGGGATGAAAAGAAAACCCACAACAAAATCAACCATATCCCCCATATGGAGAATCAGGCACCTGGATTTGTCTCAAGAAGGGCCAACAGGTTCTCCAGTTCACTCCTGTAATTTTGTATGTTGGAATGCCAGTATCTTAAGTACCAGATCAACCAGTTTCTATTACCCTTCACCTGCCCTGTAACTTCTCAGTCTGGGTATTTGTAACCATCCTCTTCTGCTTCTGAAGAGAAAGAATTTCAGGAACTCTTCCTTTTTTAGTCACATGCATTACTACTGTCCAAGGCAGAAAAATATCATAAATAGCATTAATCATAAACACTCAACCCAATATTGTAATGAATTAAAACTTAGCATGATCATAACATTAAGCTTCAATAAGGAAAATGAAGAAATATTAATGCAGCAAGAACTAATCCCGAGTCAGGTAAACAAGTCCTGAAAACAAAGACAAGTCTTGTTCTAGGACTGTATTAGGTGATCCTAAGATATGAAACAATCAAATGGCTTGTTTCATTTCATAGCCTTTTCCTTTACTTTAGAAAACTGTAAGCCTTTAAGACTGTTCTGAATTACAATGGCTGAACACCAAAGACTTCCTTAAGTCCCTTTCTTTGAACACTTACTTTCCTCCTTAAAGGCCAATTTAATCATAAACTGCAGTACACTCCTCTTTTGCATTCCTTTGCTGTCACGTGCTTGCTAGCAAAGTAGGTAAAAGGGCACAGGGCAGAGGAGCATGCGTTAGATTTGTGAACTTGACTTGCCAATGTTAGTAATGTAGCACACACATCAGTCAGCTAAGTAACACTGAAAAAATAACTTCTAACTTCAGGCATTTTGGTCACCAAAATACTTCTGTACAGCATATACTAATTAACCTCATTCCCAATAGAGAGCCATAAACAAGAGCCTTTGACTTTCTTCAGTTTGGCCAAGTCTTACTTACAGGGGAAAAGAAGTGCACAATAATCTCTAAAAGTAATCTGAAATGGCTGTTCTCACTTCTTTCAGTGTTCTCTCATAATATGTATCTTAAAAAAACCCCAATCCACACTCGCCCCTTAAAACTTGGTGGTTTTTTTTTTTTTTCCTATTAATTAAAGGAGAAAGCTTCCTGTCCGCCTATTCCTTGCTCTTTTCTGCTTTTACTTCAATTCAAACATGCTGTAACAGCTGCAGATGTTTCTCCTCTTCCCTTTTCACACCTCTGCTTGCAACAATCAAAACCAACCACAATTTTTGCCATTGTTATAAACAAATACTGCTAGGTTGGATGTCATATTTAACTCAAAAAACCCGCACACTGAAAGGCCTAAGCCCTGATAAACCTGATGGTCTGAAAAACTATGCTGCTATGCCTACAATGCAATAAAGCCTCCTCAGACTTCTATTTTTGCAGTTTCAGGATATTTACACGACTAAAACCAAAGTTTAACTCGCAGACTGCTCACAGACCTTACGATTTCAGGTTGCGAACACTGAACATTTGACTCTGTATTACATGTTCTTACAGCCATGAAAGGAGATGTGGGTCTCAGCTCTGGAAAACCTGAAGCTAAGAGAGATCCCATGGGCAGGATGCTTCCATTTAGTCAGGCATGCAAGAAGTCACTTGTGGTTGGTAATGTCTCTCTGAAGCACATCACATAGAACACACTGTCTAAAAGACAGTGAAAGGATTACCACATGCATCTTAAAAAGCATCAAGCCATGATATAAAATTAAACATGTTACAGTACATTGCACAAAACAAGGTATTAATTCCTGAAGCAATTACTTTTGGAAATTCTATTAAGCATGAACGTTTATGTTTCTGCACATTTCATAAGCTTTACATGGATAAAATCATAGTACTAAAAGAAGTAAAGTCACTACCTCTACCTCACAAAAAGCAACTCCTCTGCTTTAAGTGGATATCCATGTCGCCTCTTATCTCGGAAGTCAGCCACTTACTTCCCATACATTGCTTGGCTCATGCAATCCATTTTTTCCCCCACTTCCTGTTCCTCCTGGAATAGAGAAACCCTTCAATTTCTCCTTAGCAGGAGTCCAAACATCCACTGGAAAGAGACATGTCATTTAAATATAGTTTCCAAATCTGTAGCTCCTTTTCCTGGAAAGAAAGCAATCTAACAAATGCAGAGGAAAACTGGGGAGAAGACTTATTCACATGACCCAGAATAGCTAAAACCTTTGTGAAAGACTTAATTCTCTGACTCTCACTTGCAAGCTACCTCAATAGTTTAGTTTGAGGCTCTCCACAGATTTTTGACAGCTATTTACAGATTAGCGTTTATATACAGGGCATACACCTGTCAGTAACCAAACCAAGCTCACAAAACACTCTTCCCCAATTATTCTACTTTGACAATTTTCTTGGAAAAGCAGTGACTGCTGCACACTGTTTCTCCAAGAACACTGCTACATACCACCCCACACAGGTTTCTTGCTTTCAGAGCCTTAAATAGACATCTTTGGCACCCAAACCCCAGGCTGTTCATAGATGGTGGGCAGACTTGCAGCATTACATGTCCCTCTGCTAAGAGCTAGAACATGCTGCATCTTGAAGTATGACGGCAGTTCTGAATTCAGAAGCACCTGAATGCCGTCATAACTTCACGCAAAAGCAAGGTACAACCCGTAAAGCAATGAGAAGCACCTTATTACACAGGTAG